GATTTTTTATTAAAGCTGGCATTTTTATGAAAATTGAAGAATTTGTCTTTTTATGTAGAACTTTTATTGGAGAAGAAGCGACTTCAGCAGCACGATCAAATATATTGTCACTTGTAGGGGGGACACGTGACGAAAATAACTGGTTCTAGGTCGGATGATTGGATTTACTGGCACTTTGTTTACAATCTCTCTTAATTACAATTAATACAGCGCTGTCGCTGATTTACGTAATTTACAGTTCACCGTTGCACACGCACTGGGATTCTGAGTTTCCACTAGTCGTCTCCTAGCAACGGATCTCAACACAGAAACTGTCACTTAAAATCACTATGAAGCCTTCTTGTCTGCAATCACTTTGTACTCCTCTGTCTTAATCTATACTCAAGTAATCTTCACAGTTCACCAAGGATGGGACAGCATAGTCGGTATAGCGAGAAACTACGGGCTGGACGCCCGAGGGGTCGGAGTTCAAGTCTCGCTAGGGTCAAGAATTTTCTCCACGTCTCTGGGGCCTACCGAGCCTCCTATAAAATGGGTACCGAGGGTTGTTTCCCCGGGGGTAAAGCGTCAGGGGCATGAAGCTGCCAACTCCCGTCCAACTAGTCCCGAGGTCAAGAAAATATGGATCTATACATCCACTCCTATACGTCTTTATAGAGTGGTGTTTAATCAATTAAGTATAGGGACAATTTTTTTCCCCCTTGGCACTACAGCCCCAGTGGGCCTAGGCCTACCTCCATGAACTTCTCCGTTCACTTCGGTTTTTCTAGATCTCACACATTCGGTAGGACTCCTTGGGCGGGTGATCAGCTCGTCGCAAGGCCTCTACCTGTACACAAACACAGAAAAACGCACATACACACAAAATAAACATCCATGCCCTGAGTGGGATTCGAACCCACGATCCCGGTTTCCAAGCGAGCGAAGACAGTACATGCCCAGGGATAATTTTGCCTTTACCTTTTTAGTCTCAACTGCTCTCAGCTTCTGAAATCACTTCTCTTATAAGCACTCTGCACAGACCCCACGGAAAATAGAGTCTGTATTGTTGATGACGTCACTGCGTTGCATAGCACTGTCCGATACTCGTGTAAATGTGTTTACCGAGCCGTTGCCTAGAAACGGATTTCATATTCCCGTTGTTCTATTGTTGTGTGCATGTGTTACTTAACAACGGTTGTTTCTGTGACTCAACAGTTCTTGCATGGAGTAGATACGCCACAATATTTTAACTGAATATGTACCTGCATGTAGGCCTATGAAGTCATTTGGTAGCAAGCATCGAATAACTGTTATCGAGAATAGGAAACTTCAGCAGTCTTGGAGTGTCTGAGAACGTGGCCATATCCTAACGATTCTTTTTCAGTTATTTCGAAAGCCATAAGACTTGCGGGAAAAATGGATAAGATATTAAGTGCTTGTTTCTTTTTTCTCTACAATGAAGTGTTCGAAACATTCTTCACTCACTCATGAAGCTGAGCCCTTCTTGAGAAGCCTCGAATTCTGCAGCTACTCAAGAACTTCCCAGCATTTATGGAACCCGAAGGTTAATTATCGTGTTCACAACAGCCACCCACTGGTCCCTTTCCTGAGCCAGATCAATCCAATCCATACAATCCCATCCTATCTCTCCAAGATCCATTTCTTATTTTCCACCCACCTACATCTGGGTCTTTCCAGTGGTCTCTTTCCACCTGGCTTTCCCACCAATATCTTATATGTATTCCTCTTCTCCCCCATTCGTGCTACATGCCCTGCCCACCTCATCCTCCTTGACTTGATCATTCTTAGCTGTGATAAATATTTAGCGAGGTGCATGCCGACACGGTCTTTCATTTGACATGTTATTTTTTGCCCAATTTTAACCAATATTAAGGTCAGCAAATCCTATTGAGACTAGCGAGTGTCAAACATTATGGAAATTCGTTCGGTATTTCTTGAGCCATCTTTCGGTCTTCGAAACACAAGGCAGCGGCTCAGGAAATGGTCTGTAATCTGTGGGAACGAACTGGAAAGTGCAACATGTGCAGGAGATATAGCAGTCTGCTCGGTGTTTACAAGACTTATCACTATGCGAAGCCACGTCTGCAATTATAGAAAATATATGTGATGTCACGTCCCTTAATATCTAGAACCCGAATTTTTTGATTAGTAAAAATATTCACCATTTTGTTCTCGCAACGCACAAACTTTCATGTGACAGTTACGAGATTCTACATCCTTTATTATATTTGTTAAATACGTATTTTTTTTTTAAAATTCGCTTAGGGGGGGGGAGTCCAGCTGGGTCCACTCGGCACGGCGGCCACTGATTGACCCATTGTACCTGCCCCGGGTGATTATGATGATGGAGAATTTGGTGGAATGAAGATTGGCAGGGGAAATCGAAGTACTGGGAGAAAACCTGCCCCAGCGCCACTTTGTCCACTACAAATCCCACTTGACAAGACCCGGGCTCGAACCCGGGCCGCCACGGTGGGAAGCCAGCGACTAACCGCTTGAGCTATGGCGCGGCCTAAATATGTATTATAAGATTCATCTCCTGTAGACCTATGAATAGTAACATTGTGTGTTCGGGTTTATTGACGGTGTGTTGTACAAGAGATAAGCAATATAATTATTTCCGTAGAGCTTAATTTACGGAAAACTCAGACAAGAACGGATGCGAAGAAAACAATCTTCTGGGATGTTGCGCCGTGTAGCTATTGTGTTAATCGACGTTTCGGAGGAACCTATCGCCTCCATCTTCAGGGTAGAAGAGAAGAAGAAATCCGCGAGCGAACCAGCGTAAACCCAGCTGGGATTACTCGACTGGACTCAGTATGTTGCACCTGCTCATTCTGGTTCGCTCGCGGATTTCTTCTTCTCTTCCACCCTGAAGATGAAGGTGATACGTTCCTCCGAAACCTCGGATAACACAATATTTACACGGCGCCACATCCTAGAAGACTGCTTTCTTCATAGTCACCGCCGTGAAAACCTCAAATCTTACAAGAACGGATATATTGGCCACTATATGATAATTGCGCTGCATAAGATTAGCTTTTATTATGTCTCTGGACAAGTCTCGGTACGTACTGGGACCCCACTGCTTAAGCGAAACGGATATACGTCTGTTGAATTCAAGGAAAGACAACAGGAAAATGTGGATGTTCTGAAGTTTCCTTTCAATGAAGACAATGCCGGCCGCGTTTCATGCTTAAAGAGAGGTCCAGCTGTTCCATTGATACGATCACTTCTCTCTGTATCATACTCACTGTTTGCGAACTTGGTAACTAAGCTTTGTCTATAGCAAATTAAGCTCCGATAACAAACATTACATTACATTACTAAGTATCCTGTGTAAGTTAGTTACGTGTAGTTCAGTACAAAGTTTTCGCATGTACCCAGACCAGAGACTCCAACATCCAGATCGATGTACGCTACAGGGTGGCAAAAATAACGAATTTCTTTAAAGAATGGTAAAATGAATGACTTGATAGATCTGAATGAAACTCGAGTAAGTAATGTTGAGCATACCTAAATTGTCTATTTGTACAAAAGGATTTTATTTACCCCTGTTACTTCGTCACAGAAAGAAAATATTTTCCATTTTCAACGTTATCAAGAAAATCTGGGACAACTTGTCACCTATTTTCCTTTGATACGACACGGATCACATAGAAAACGACGAGCCGAATAATTCTTCTATTCTTTCGTGTGTATTCGTTGCCACGGTAACGTTTTTACCGAGTCGTTGCCTAGCAGCGATAGGGGGATTCATGTACAGACACGCAGACTGATGGGACTGATGTATGAAGTACGCCGTTGAGATGGGCTCAAGTGCCGTGTTATACACACCAAGTATCATGAATACTGGTTCAAGCATTCAAAATTTTATGGGAGAGGGGAATTCACAGACACACCGACAGCATGGCGATCTCATAAGCCTCCTAATATTTTTCAAAATAAGAAAAATAGGCTGAAATATTAATTATGTTTATAATTTTGTTATTTTTTATCGGAATAATGTTGAATACCGCCCACATTTTCTTGGATTACTACTTTAAGCCGTGTTTTCCATTGATCGATGGATGAGTTATTTTGCAATGTGAGAGAGGCCAAATATTATCGATTTTTATTGCAGTAACTCCAGGGACTGAACCGGTTATCTCTGGTTTTTGTACAGTAATTGTTTAAATTCATTCCAGACATCGTAATCCAGAGGATTCAGATCTGGAGAATTTTTTTTGTGTTCTGTGGATTTGACAAATTCCGTTACAAGCTTCGTCCTATACTTTCAAAGCGCGGCTAAAATGAATGTAAGAATACACGTTTTTACATTCAAATGGGAAAATATGTTTTTCTGCATAACGAATTAACACAACCGAATAAATCCATTTATATACACACTCAGCTTCATTCGTGCACGTAAAGTCGTTCAGTCCTGCATTTCTTTGAACTTTCTTATTATTACGCCACCCGGTAATTTTGAGTTTCTTAGAAACCCTGGAAAATGTAGAAATGTCATGTACCTGCTTGTGTAAGGAAGACACGACTGTTGTTCTAAACAGCCAAAACTGTTGAAAGAAGTGTACCTTTTGTTTTTATGAAATATATATATTTTTATACAAAATTTGCATAATGTACAGAATTTTGTATGTAAACATGCATTCATTCACACAGAAACTGAAATCTTAATCATGTTCTTAAGTTTAGTCATATGTTTGTTATGCAAAATGGTTTAACTTTGCACCTTGATTACAGAAATAAGGGGCTTTCTCAAAATAATTAAAGGATTGACCGATAACGTGATCACAGAAATATGGAAATAAGAAATTAATACATGGTTTTGTCTATTCCAATCAGAGTACGAGGAAAGACAAACTTTTAATAAATAGGGAAACAAAAATTACAAAACTTTTCCATATCGATTTTATGTCAGCTAAGATATATTTTTAGGCTTATAGAAGCCCTTGCGATTAAACGTGTATAATTAAATGTTATTTTCTTTATTGCAGGGAATTCATTTACGCGTGGAGGAGGCGTCTGAGAACGAGACTTCGTGCACCATCTGTAAGTGACCATTCATTTATCCCACGTTTATTATTTAACTATAGTATTATTTAGTTCTTTTTACCAAGAAGATACATAGTCTACTATTAATCACTCTTCTGTTGGAAAAAAATTAAAGTATACTGGAACATGAAAACTCGTAAATTTTGCTAATGAACGGAGAGGATAATTATAAGGGTCTTCTGTACATCCGTATATTTTTCACTCGTTATGTACATATTTTGTCTTTGATTATATGGTATCTAATCCTGTGTTGTACATTTTGAGTTGGTCTCTTTCACCCCTCTGCTTCATGTTATACGCCTGACGTACATCAGTCTGTAATTTCATTTGTATTATCTGCTTAAACTTTTGAGGACTGAGAGACTAAACTTCACTACATCGACATAGAAATATTAGTTTCTTGAGCCTAACGTTGAGTGTAGTACGTTGTGCGTTCAAGTTCTAAGGTCTCCGATTTTTTTTCTCACACAATAATCATACAAAAAATTTGAAACTTCTGTCACTTTTCAACGTAATCTCCCTGCAGCCGTACGCATTTTTCACAACGTCGACGCCATGATTCCATGGCCGCTGCGAACGCTTCTGTAGGAGTCTGTTTTGACCACTGGAAAATTGCTGATGCAATAGCGGATTGAAAAACGGCATCCATGTCTCATCCATTGTCACAGTTGATGAAAAGAAAGTCCCATTCATGCCTTCATCATTGCCATGCGTGCAGCCTTGTGGTCATCCGCCAAAATTCGTGGAACCCACCTGGAGGACACTTTCCGCATTCGCAGGTCTTCTGGCAGGATTTTGTGCACAGATCCCACGGAAATGCCAACTTTGGAGGCGATGGTTTCCACACTCAATCGGCGATCCTCCAAAACAACTTTCTCAACTCGCTCGACCATGCTGTCAGACCGGCTGGTGCGAGGCCGAGATTGTTTTGGTTCGTTGTCACACGACGTTCGGCCTTCTTTGAACTGTCGCGCCCACGAACGCACATTTTTCACATTCATGACACCATCACCACATGTCTCACTCAACTGGCGATGAATTTCAATGGGTGTCGCACCACGCAAGTGGAGAGAACGAATGATTACTCGCTGTTCTTGTAACGAAAACGTCGCCATTTTAAGCATCAAAAACACTCCTCACACTCGCCGCTACCACTAGAGTTCTGTGTGCCATAGAGTTCTGCCATCTCTGTCGCGCATTCACAAAGAGTGCACACGTATTTTAAACAAAACCGCATGAGTCTATCTGCTCCCAGTCCTGAGAAAAAAAATCGGAGACCTTAGAACTTGAACGCCCCTCGTAATATGGCACGGCAATATTCACGAAAACAATTATTTCGGTATAAAAGAGCATAAAAAGAATGTTCTTGTAGGATTTTGATAGGCTTGTATGATTCCCTGCATTACTCATATATTAAGAGGAAAGACGAATTCTTCTGTGATATGGCAGCATCATTCGATGGTGGGCGCTGAAAGCGGTAAATTGCCTTTGATCACCATAACTTGAAAGTACACAGAAGGCGTGGAATATGGCGCTAAAATTGTGTTATGCGCAAGTATATCTGAAGCGAAAAATTCAGAATTAACACGAGTTAAATTTAAACCTGAAACGAACTAATTTGATCACCCCTTACATTTGTAAGTACATGAAGGCATATTTATACATGCGAGATATATAGGCCCTACGATTACCTTTCTGTTTCTCTGCGAACCACAAGTAAACAAGGATAAGCAAATGCTCCTTTGATTGTAACCTAAACACATGTGTGTTGTCCAGATAGGGTCACTATGAATTGCGTTCCAAATTGAGTGGTTATCAGCTGTATAACACAGTGGTCGCCTAACACCATCACTTTCGATGGTGCAAACCTAGTGAATATAGGTTTGTTACTGCTTTCCTTTTCAAATGAGTGAACTTTAAATTCTTTTTTGTGGGACACGGCATTCGTATTTTATAACATCCTGCACTTTTTGTAATTAAAAAAAAATTGTATCTTAAGTGAGTAAGCCAATTTTTCTAGGTACACCTGAGGCTATATTGAAACTCGCAAACAATACGGGCTTCAAAACGCATTAAAGTGAATAAAACTTAGAGACTTACCCTGCATGTCGGTGTCGTACATCAAGTTGCATCAGAATCTGTGAAAAATAGGGTCCCCTTAGCCTCTAACAGAAATGACTATCGGGAATCTTCCTGGGGGGTAAAGGGCGGCCTGCGCGTAAAGCTACCCATCTCACCGCAATTTGTAGCTGATTGTCTAGAAAATGTTGGAACCTCGACGTCTCAGAACCCTATGGCCCTGCATGGCATGTTACAGGGATAGCTATACATTTCTATGGAACCGACTTAAGGTTCGTTTAGGCTCTTGAATAAAGTGTTCGATAAAATGAATTAAAGTAACGAAAGTTCCACGCGTTAATACTCGTACAGCATAAATGCCATGTGTCAAATGTAACCGAAATCCAAAGGTTCAAGGTACATTGAGGCCTCTACACAGAGCGGCCTTTAAAATGAAACAAATGAACATGTTAAAAATGTTGGATTTTGTATGAATGTATGAGGGGTAGGCCTTCTCGACCCTTGCACCGCGACCTACAGTGGTCTATTGTGCTTCACTCTCACAGCTGTAAATATGAATTTCATTATCATATGGGATGTAATGCCGTGTAGTCCGATAGAAATCCACACGTTTTAGAGGATTTTAGACCCTGCTTACCGCCTGCTACTTTCTGGTTTCCTGCTTCGCTTACTCGTAGAGCCCTGATGATGGAAGACATACTCCAAAACGTCGGTGGACATCTACCAAACTAAACGACGTTACATGCCAGAAGACAGTACACTTCAATTCAATATAAAAGCGCTAGATAGAATTTGTCGGTGTACTACATCGACTTTCATAAAAACCGTTTAGCTAGTTTGGGAGCTGCTGCTTTCGGACTTAAAAATACAAGGCTTCACAAACTTTTTGATATTGAGAATCCCTAAACTGTATTCATTTACGGGACCTCATCTCTGCTGATCAAAGAAAACTGCAGTATTGCAGTTCTGGACATTTTTAAAACTGGCAGTTAACAATAATGAGGCGCTTCATAACTTGTACTCTTCTCCAAGTATAATTAGAATTATCAAGTCAAGGAGGATGAGGTAGGCAGTCTATGTAGCACGAATGGGGGAGACGAGGAATGTGTATAGGATATTGGTGGGAAAGCCAGAAGGAAAGAGACCACAGGGAAGACCAAGGCGTAGGTGGGTGGGCAATATTAGAATGGATCTTAGAGAGATAGGACGGGATGGTATGGATTGGATAGATCTGGCTCAGGATAGGGACCAGTGGAGGGCTCTCGTGAACACGATGATGAATCTTCGGGTTCCATAAAATGCTGGGAAATTCTTGAGTAGCTGCAGAATTGGCAGCTCCTGCAGAAGGGCTTAGTTCCAAGTAAGTGAGGCAGTTAACAATTTACACGGAATTTTCGAACTGACTGAAATTATTTTTACGACATATGAAGATAATTCTTAGTACCAAACCAGAAGGGAGACGAAAAAGAGAAAGGCCTAAACTGAGATGGGAAGAGGGAATGGACAAGGATGTCAAAGTTCTGGGGAAAATAAGCTGGAAAAACCTAGACAGGAATGGATAAATCTGGCAGAATTGTCGAAGAAAATCTGAGCCTCATAAAGGGCTGTTCTGCCACTGATGATGATGATAATGACGAGGAGGAGGAGGAGATCATTCTTTCGGTAGGTCATCTATTTCCCCCCACACACACACACATTTCAGCATTTACTTCAAATTGCAAGGTCAGATACACCACTGTACTACACAGTCAGTCCATAAAACATAAGCATCAGTTTAATGAAACTTTTAATTTACAGACAAACAACGAGTATAATGATTCCGGCGTTGAAGGATTGTTTTGTTTGGTTGCAAACACCTTCAAGAGAATACCGACAAGTGCTTCATTATATACAGTCCTGGCACTTAACTAACACTGATAATTTAGATATGTCGTAGTCTTCAGTGCTATGACACCGTGCAGTCTGATAGACGGTTACCAGCGTTTCGGAGGAAGATACCCAAATTACCTAAATTACCCTAAATACCGTAAGTAACTTGGATTTGAAATTTCGAGTAAAAATACTCCCACCTGTAGCACTAAGATTATCCAACAGCAAACTCAGACAATATATTTGAAAGCGTTTAATTGTGAGGCAGAATTAAAACGAAAAGTCATTATACACATGTATACTCAGCAGAGCACGTAAGCAGAGCTGCAGGATGTAAATTTACAGTAAATACAGCTAGCGTTCCTGAGTGCTCTCATATTTTCGTGTAAGGCAAGCGTCAAGAACTTTGAAGGGCCAAAGAAATATAGAAGCCCTGATAGGGATGTTGCATCCCTGCATGCGGTGTCTCACACGGCAGGTTATGCAAGTAGAGGCAACAGGAACTGCCAAATCACTCAGAATAACAAATTTGAAAGATGGGCGAAGTTGGTGCGACAGATTCACGCGCAGCGAAGCACCGTCACTCAGGCATCGAACATCCGACCGTCGGAAGATTCCAGTTGTCTTTCAGGGGAAGCTGCTGAACTTCCAGCAGTACGTTACTCAGTTGAGGAAGAAATAAAACTACGTATTTAAGCGCACAGAAAACGCAGATGATTGTCTACAAAATGTGGGAGCCTCGACGTCCCAGAACCCTATGGGTCTCCAAGGCCTGTTACAGGGATAACTTTACCTTTTCCTTACCAACATCCATAAGGAATTATTTTATCTTTTAATACTTCATTCATTGTAACAGATTTTACTGTTTATTTATATTCTTCATTAATGATTTATGCATTAATAATTGCGTGCTTCTTAAGCAACATAAATTTTCTTCAATTTTTCTCCTGTCACTCCGCCAAAATCACGGTCCTTATTCATTGCCTTCATAAGCATCGTGAGTTTCAAGATAGGTCAAAGGTTCAGTCCGTCTCACAGGAAAAATCTTC